GGGGGGGGGATACCGATGTGCCTGTGTTTATTTTTTTTATTTTTTTATTTTTTTATTTTTTATTTTTTTATTTTTTTTATTTTTTTTTTGTGCTGGGTGCTGGCCAGCAGCCGGCCTGTAGGTGCTAATGGGTGGATCTGTCGGCTGGTCAATCGCCGACCAGATCTAGGGGTGCCACGACTCCAGCGTGGCTACTCTCCTTGCCTGGTTTTATTATCATTGTATCTATAGACTGAAAGTCGCACCAAATACATCTATAATACTTTCATTCTATTCGATGAAGACGATAATTGCCCTTGCATTCTTGTATCCCTTGCCCATCCTTCACCTGAAAAGAATGCTCGTTCATGATCGTTGCATCTAGACTGAAATTTGCCCCAAGTATGGCTATGATGACCGGGCATTCTATTTAGCGAAATCCCTAGCCCTTTCTTTGCCACCTTTGGTGATCCTTTCTGTATGCCTACCGTCTTCCCCCGAATAGAACATGTGGTCATTGTTGCTGCATCTACACTGAAATTTGCGCTAAATACAGTTACAACTTACAAGCCTACAACGGCTTTATGTGTTCTATTCGAGGGAAGACGGCTGGTGTGAACCCACCCAGACCCTACAGTATGCTCCACTGGGAGTCGTAGAGCTGGTGCTAGGAACCAGTGGTGTGCATGATTGCCCGAGTACACAACATACGGGTATTATAGCTATATGTGGGCTATCTCTCAGTCTAAGTACCGCAATAAAACATCTGGGTATTTTAGCTGTATGTGGGGTATCTCTCAGTCTAAGTACAGCAATAATGATGACAGTATCTCCTGATGTATGCAGGTGAAGAAGGTAGGAGTGTGCCCCCTCTCTTGCCGCAGTCTTGTGGCTTTGTAAGGTTTCAGGGTCGTTATGATTGAAAAAGGGGGGGGAATATAAGCGATTATGTGGGTTATCTCTCACTTAAAAAAAATACAGCTATAATGACTGCACTCTCTGCGATTATGTGGGGGGAAGAAGCTAGGACCATGCCCCCTCTCTCTGCTTCTTTAAACCGCCAGTACCTTTCCCAGTGGAAAAAAAAAGGCGCGGCGGTTAACACGGAGGCCGGCCGCAGCCTCGCGCACTGACCAGATGCATCCGGTATCATTGGCGCACAGGGCCCGCGGTCAATATATGGGAAAGGTAACTGGCGGTTTAATACAGACTGAAATCTGGCCCCTCTCTGCTTCTTTAATACTGGCTGCAATCTTGTGGCTTTGCAAGGTTTCGGTGTCGTGATGGTGAAAGGGTTGTGATATATGTGGTTAATAATTGTCGATGATGATTGTTTGCCAGGATGATGATGGTCCGTCAAATCGGAGGGATTCGAGAGACCGTGAATTCCCCGATGACAGACATGGGCGGTATGATGACCGACGCGATGGACGAAGGGGAAGCAGCGACAGAGGATCTGCGGATTTTGGCCGTTCCGATACAAGAGATGGAAACAGGGTCGAGAGACGAAACGATGATCGAAGAGACGGTGGCAGCTGGGGAGAGGATCGAAGGGGTGCAGCACGACACGAGGACCGCAAGAGTGCGGACTGGGAACGGGAACGGGACAGGCGGCCAGATGACCTATTCCGGTTCAGTGAAATGGATAAAGAGCGAGAGCGCAGAAACGAGGACGACAGAAGGGACCGCAGACCAGGTTATCGTGATTACCCAGAGTCACCGCCAGTGAAACACATATCTTCCGTGCTCGGGGAGAATGCACCCCCTCTCCGCGTGAGTGTCGAGTACGAGGGTCGCTCAAACGGCCGCTATGAAGATGACACCCCTGGCATATCGCCGGTGAGTTTGGCCCCTGCATGCCCGTCAACAATTTTGCGCCTCTTGCCACTCAACCCAGTACTCTCTTTTTTTTTCTTTTTTTTTTTTGGGTATTTATTCGGTCACGCATGCACTCGTAAACCCTGTGTGCTGAGCCGTGGTGCTCTCGAACATATCTGGGAGTTGATCTGTTGGAAAAAAAAATGATCGCCTTGTCTCCTCTCATCAAGCGAAAGGAGGAAGAGATCCCAACATAAAGATTTTGATGGCCTCATCTTTCAAGCTAAAGGAGGAAAAGGTCCTTTTCTGAGGCAGAGGGAACATAAATTACGCTTTCTTTCTGAGTCGGGGTTTGGGGGGGGGTACGGAAGAAGGGGGGGGGGGAATGGGGGGGATCTGAATTTTCTTTCTTTCTTTGATTGGTAAGGAAAAGAGGTCCTCTGGCCGTCCGGACATCTGTTGCAACTGGAAAGAAGATACATAGAAGATCCGCATGGCCCCTGAAGCAAGGATGACACACATAAATCGGCAAAATTTAAAATTTTCGATATAAGAAAAGAGAAGGAAACTTTAAGGAAGTCCTTCGGCCCATCCGATGAAATTGGAACGACACCCCCACCCCTGTGCAAGGATGACATGCATACATCGGGAAATGGTCCAAAATCTCCAAATTAACAAAACGAAGGGAAGCGTCCCGAAAAACAAAGAGAGGAAAAGAGGAGATGGTTCAAACTTCAAATGGTTGCTATGACGGGGCATTCGGGCTATAAGACAAACCGTAGGGGTCATTCATGATATGATGATTGCTCGTTGCCTGATGAGCTCAGGTGTAGCTTTGCGGTTGCGGTTGCTGTTGGGGTTGGGGTTTAGGGTTTTGTGGAGGGGTCTTATTGAAGGGGAGGGAGATTATAGGTTGTTATAGGTGTTGAAGTTAGGAGGTGTTTGGTAGACAATGGAGTGGCTGAGTACTGTGGGTGACTGCCATCCGTCTAGTATCCCACCTCTACAACAACCTGGGCTTAAGCCACTAGTACCTTTCCCGCGTGGGAAAATAGGGAAAACTGGCTGTTTTCCCAATCGCCTGAATTTTCGGAGGTCGGGCCCGACGACGACTGCCATTGATAAATCTGATCGGCGGCCGTCGTTTCGTTTCGGCCTCCGAAAAGGTCGGTGGCCCAGCGGAGGCCCTCTATTTTCCCACGCGCCAAAGGTACTAGTGGTTTTAAAAAAAAAAAAAAAAAAGCAACTTTGACTCTGTCGTCGGCTCACAAAAGTTGTTTTGAGGTTGTCTGCAGTACAAACAAGAAAGATGTTGAACCACCACCAGTAATTTGCCCAGCCATTTTATTTTATTTTTGCAACGTGGCCACGCACGGGCTACAACTTCAAAACAAGCCTTTTTTTTTTTTCCCCTGCAACGTGGCCGTGGACTGGTGGCGTCAGTGAAAGAAGAAAAAGCACTGGCTTGTTTTTGTTTGGCCCGCAGCCGGGGGGATCTGCTTCAGCAAAAGGAAGCTGCCTCCAAGTACCGGCGGTTTAAATGTAATGAAGGAGGGTGTTGCGGGAAAAGGGGTAGCGGAGAAAGTGTGCTGAACTTAGTCTGAAGTGTGTAATGCTGTGTGGGGGAATTTTCAGACTCGTTTACTTTCTCTGATGTGATGAAGCTCTGCAATTCTGAATCTGGTCTTTCTATGTGGGTTTGGGAGAAGAATAGTATGTGGGGTGTTGGATGACATGACACTGACGTATACAGCGTGTGGGTGGTGTTTCCGGGAACCGTGCCCAGCATCAACGGAGCTCAGCGCGACCTGGGAGTGTGGCTGGAAGTGAGGACTCAGGCAGGCCTGACAGTGAAGGAGGCCATAAGAGGAAGAACTCCATTCCACTTATCGACTTCAATCTGGACGGAGAGCCTGCCGCCACATCAACGCAGCCGCAGAGTGAAGACGGGGGGGCCTTTATCGTTGCCAACTCTGTCGCATCATCGTCGGCGACGGCAGGCTGGGCAACGTTTGATGTCTCTCCTCCGCAGGGGGGACCCGGAGCTGGTGGAGGGGAGTTCGATTCCTTCGGCCGCGGGCTCTTCGCCGGTTCTGCCGCAGGCACCGGTGCTGCTCTTGGGGCTACTACAACTGCTACAGTGGGTGGAGCTGTTGGCCCGGATGGGTCTGCTGCATGGGATGGACCGTGGGCCGGCGGAATGAACTCTGCAAACGCCGTGAATTCGGTTACTGTCGCAACTCAGGGCCAGAATGAATGGGCATCATTTGACACCGACTCCTCAAGCCAAGTTCAGCCGGCTCAGACGCCAATGCAGCCTCAGGCACAACAGGTTAGTGAAAACACACATCAAATCCTAATTGTGTCTTCCTATTGTGCAGAACAATGCACGCCCTCCATGGAGTACTAAAGGGCAACCCCTCCATGGAGGGGTTGCATGGAGGGGGTGCACGGAGGGGGTGCATGGAGGGGTTGCATGGAGGGGGTGCATGGAGGGGGTGCATTGAGGGGTTGACACCGCCTCCACTGTCTGAACTCATAGAAGAAACGCTTCTCAGGCTTAGGGTTCGGAGTTAGGGTCTCGTCAGAGCCGTCACACAGGACCATGCTTGTGTTTTCTTTCTTGCCCAGCCCATTTTCTAAGGGGACTGTCCGCGCTAGGAGCTCGGTTGGTAGAGCATGAAAGTGGCATTGAGGAGATTGCGGGTTCGATTCCCTGCGGTCTCTGTTTCAAGCCCCCACAGCCTCCTGCGGCTCACTACGGGCTCACCAGCTGAGATAGTTGGCTTGCCCCCCCCCCCCCCCCCCCCCCAACCCTGGGTAGGGTTGGAAGGAGCGTTGCTCTCCCATCCACCTCCTGGGGTTAGGAAGAAAGCTGCGGTGCTTATTAGACACGGGAGGAGGTCGATGTCAACCCATAATTGCAACAACTGGCAACAAAAAACTGGACTTTGATAAAGAGCTTAGGTAGTGTGAGGTATATGAGTGAACAATATAGCTTAGTTAAAATAAATAAAAAGATAATAAAATAATAAAAGAATAATGAAATAAAAACAAACAATAATATAATGATAAAAAATAATAAAAAAATAATAATGTTTTAAAAAAGCACAAACAAGAAGGGGACTAACCCCCTTATCTTATTTGAGTCCGCTTCATTCCATCAGATAATCACCTGGTGTTCCTGCCTTGTGGCTGAGCAGCACACACATGCAGCTGTGGTTAACCAGATCCTGAGTACAAACCGTGATATGGTTGGATACATTTTTTAAGTACCACAATTACACTACAGAGTCTAACCAAACCCCTTCAGAGGGAAACAAAGGGAAAAAAGGAAGAGTCGGCTGATGTGAAGTCTGTTGGAAGTGGAGTGGACGGTATTGCGCTTGTTGGTAGAGGTTTATTTTATGCAGTGGCCAGCGACGACATCAACGTGTTTTTGACGCCAGAACCATCGATTCTTCGTGACTGTTGCCGTTCACTTCCTGGCTGGGTCGGTGGGGTCGGTTTCCCTCCCCGCGTACTACCGCGGCTTTGTCGACCTTTCTCATATGATCCCACTTGCTTTGTTTGGAGGGGGAGGGGGGGCGGGGGGGAGCGGGGAGGAGAAAGTGGTTGAAAAATTTGCGGGTTGATTGACTGGTGTTCTTTCTCTACTGTCCATCTGTGACATTTTCTTCGACTGCGGTGCTCCAGCTCTGAACAAGATCCCCATCCTCCAGCATTGATGAGAGATTTCGTGCATGTGTGTGTGCGTGTGCGTGTGTGTGAGAGAGAGAGGTGTGTGTGTGTGTGTGTGTGTGTGTGTGTGTGTGTGTGTGTATGGGCATGTTTGCTATTCACAACTCCACACAAGAAAAGCAAGACTGTGCCAGAGTGTTCTGATGGATGCATTTGACTGATGGATAAGGACTCTCAGCACATCGGCCGGAGTTAGCAATACCCCTGAGAGAGAAAAGTAGTAGACTTTACTCACACCAACACATGCAATCCTAGCAGACTGTTGATCCAAACCCCTTTTCAAGAATGGCAGTAAGTCTGAAAAACTGGTGTCGAATCTCGATCGTGTTGATTGTTCAAGACCTCACTAACTGTCAACAACAACTCTCTCCCTCTCTCTCTCTCACTCACACACACACACACACACACACACACACACACACACACACACACACACACACACCTCACACACACACACACACCTCTCTCTCTCACACCGACACACACACACACACACACACACACCTCTCTCTCACACACACACACACACACACACACACACAAACCACTTGGAAAATAGTAAAATACAGACATGGAAAACAGGTGTAAAACAGTAAAACCCGGAAACGTTTCTTAAACTTTCTTTCTAGCCTTTTGTTGCAGGCATTGCTGGAAGAAGCAGAGTTGCAGTTGGGCACAATGTTTTATGGTATTCAGTGGCCTAGCTCAGTTGGTAAGGCACACAAGTGGCATTTAGAAGGTCTTGGGTTCAGTCCCCATTGCCCTCAACTTCCCTCAAGAACCATCCTCGGCAAGCTTGGCACCCGCCACGTAGAGATAGCCCATTGGTTCCCCCGAGCGGTATTGAGCGGTGACTGCCGATGTTTGTAGGGGGAGGGGACCGGAGGGGAGGCACAGGGACTGGCCCATCGAAGAAGCTCAGTCCTGATGCTACTACCGGCTGACCCCTGGCTGGTATCGCTCACCTGCAGGTCGGGTGTAGCCCCCGCGTGTTCCCTCTTTGGAGGCTTGAAGTTGCGCTGGCTGCGACGGGGTTCCCCGTAATACTATAATGATAAATAAAAAAGCCCTGAAAGCTAGGCCATTTTCCCAGGCGCCCGGGCACCCAAGTTGTGCCTGAAAACACACCCGGGTGACCAGCCAGGCATGACCCCCGGGCAGGGTCCGTGGCAGCCCCAGCACAACAAAAAAAACAAAACAAAACAAAGTTCAAAATCTGGAAAAAAAATATGTTGTGTAGAATTGCAATACAAACAACTTTTGGCTGAGGGTCACATCAGAATTCCTCACGGAACTAAAGACAAAAAAGAAAATGACCGAATCACACCAAGGCACCCCCCTTCAAACCCATTTAGGCCCTTTAAAAATAATTTATACCCCCCTTGGCCCCCCTTTAGTGCCAACACTGAAAAAAAGAAGAGAGCCCGGATTTGGGCTCCTCTCTGAGAGCGCGGAAAACCCCCACCGCCATTTTTTTTTTCTTTCTTTTTTTTTTTCCCATGCCCGGGTATCCTGGGCGTCAGACCCCCCCAGGCATCATGCCCGGGTGACCGGCCGGTCATGAAAATCTTCCTAGCCTGAATTGCTTGGGCTTAAAAAGAATTAGCCTTAAAAAAAGAGGTTTTCTGTCTCAGGTGTGGGCCTGAGCGGGATATGAACTCTAGACCAGCAAGTCAAGAATGGTATGCATGTCCCCTGGGTAGGCTGAAGCCCTGTTTCGTGTGCTGATTTTTACAGGGTTAGCGTGATGGTGCTTAATGTTCTCTCTGTTTGCCGTTCTGATTACGGAGGTCGTCACGAACATCGCTAAACTTCGGCACTGCGACTGAAGCCGACAGGCGTTGAAATCTTGATTTGTAACTCCGTCCTTTTCTTTTTTGTTTTCTTTAGCGTCTGTTGGCTACACGCTTGCCTCATCAGTCTTCCCCCAACATAATGCACCCTCATTCTGAATGCATACAAGCGAACATTCCAGTCCGATACGGTCAAAATGAGGGTGCGTTGTGTTCGGGGGAAGACGGTAGGCGTTCTCTCGTTCAATATCGATGAATTACAACAATGATCAATCTCTTCCTGTTGCGGTGAAACTTGAAAGTAGTATTTGAATTTTGAATCTTCAATCTTGTGTCAGCCTGTAATTGGACTACAGCATCAAAAGAAAAAAAGAAAAAAAAGGTCTAAAGCATCAAGGTAGAGATGGTTTGTCATGGGTAGGTAGGTTGCAATCTGTGTGTGGTGAAGAGCTTTACTGATGCACGAGTGGACATTTTCTGATGTTCCCCAACATGTTTTTTTTTTTGTTTTTTTGTTTTTGTTTTTGTTTTCCTCCTTTGCGCAGGGGCCATGCTAATCATCTCTGTATCGTTCCAATTTTAACGGATGTTTTTGTGTTTTTTCAGTGGGACACATTTGGTGCAGCACAGCGCAATGTCCTATTGTCATCACCACAGCAGCAGCAGCAGCAGCAGAAGCAACAGCAGCAAATGTCCACCCAGCAGCAGCAGCAAACGTCCGCCCAGCAGCAGCAGCAAACAGCCGCCCAGCAGCAGCAGCAGCAGCAGCAGCAGCAGTTTCAGCAGGTTTTGCAGCCGTCACAACCCCAGCAGGTGCAACAGCAAGCACAGGGAGTGAATCTTCAGAGAAGCCTCTCTGCCCGCAGTGTTCCGTCTCCAACAGCTCAACAAGCACAGACATCTTCAAGACCAGCGTTACCTGATGTAAGTTCCACGTACCCATTACTGCGACGCTACACCTATTTGTTTGTTTGTTTGTTTGTTTGTTTGTTTGTTTGTTTGCTTGCTTGTTTGTTTGTCTGTTTGTCTGTTTGTGTGGTCGAGGGAGCGGTTCATTCATTTATTTCATTCCTTCATTGCCTTTCCTGTGTGCTCATTCATTTGTTCATTTGTTCGGTCGTTGGTTTGTCTGTATGTCCATTCATGTGTGTTTTTGTCTGTACGTCCGTTCATGTGATGTTTTGTTTTTGGTTGGTTGATTCGTTCGTTTGGTTGCCCGGTCTTTCGTTTGTTCGTCGGTCGTTCATTCGTTTGTCCGTCCGTTCTCTTCGTTCTCTTCGTTCGTTTGGTCGGTCGGTCGCTCATTCTTTTGTCCTGTGATTTGCTCGTTCGTCTTTGCGGTTGTTCGTCCATTGGTTCGTTTGTTCCTTCGTTTTTTTTGTCCATTCGCTCGACCCAATGCTGAAAAATGGAGTTGGTGGTGCCCACGCCCGCCTTCGGGCAATTCCATCCTGCACTCTGCTCTCTGACGGCTGTGAGTTCCTGAGGAGTCTGTTACCTGCGACTTCCACTTCCAGCTTGCTTTGCTCGGATTCTTTTTTTTCTTGATGCTCAGGCGGGCGGGCCCAGAATACGAGGTATTCCGCACTCCAGTACGTCCTCACCTGTTCTCTTCGGAGAATACGAGAGGGGTGCCGGCGGGCGGTCCTCCAGACGAACCTGCCACAACAGCCTGCATGAGTGGTGTGTAACTTTCTCTTTTGAACACGGTTATGGGATTTGTTGCTCTCTTTTATGCAATGTTCGACATCTGCGCCATTGTTTTTTTTTTTTTTTTTTTTTAAATACCATTGTAGTATGATGGTACTGCTTGGGCTCTCGAGGGTTTGCGCAGCTTTGTGGTATGATCTGTGGGACTGAAACGTACAGCGGAGCGGAGTGAATCCGATTTACGACATGGGATCGTCTGCGGTAGTTTTCCGTTGCAAGGATGTGCAGTGAAAACAGTGCGTACTGCATGGACACAGATATTGCTTGAAATGTGTTTTCGATACAGCTTTGGATTGAGAGGAGGACCTGAAGGAGTAATAAATCACAATACAAGACAACATGTTGTTGTTTTTTTATTTTTTTTTATTTTTAAATTTATTATTTAATTTAATGAATTTTTTTATTTGTATTTGGCCTCTTGATGCAGGAGTTCTTTACAGAGGCTTATGCGCCTGCAACGGCTGCGTCATTCTATGGTATGCAGCAGGCCGGGAGGCTTATTCCTGGCGCTCAGTACGCAGCTATGGCTGGTGGCATGATGGTTTGTCTATTTTCCATCCACCTCCGCAGTCTAGGTTCTCCCTTAGGTCCTTCCAGGTTAAGCCCAGGCCCCATTGGTGCTATGTTCATGTTTGCAAGCATGAACCTGGCTGCAGCATCAAAATGAGTGCACACTTATTCCACTGGTTCAACCCCTCCAGCACAATTTTCGTCTTTTTGCGCACCCTGCTCACGAAGCACAGCTCCACTGTTATCTGTGAATATGTACTACCTTATATGTTTAATATGCTCTTGCTTGGCTAGACCAAATGGTTGTATCATTTGTTTCGGTTTGTTGATATCAGAATTTAATTCAATTTATGGATAGAATTCAAGACTCTAGTCAGTCCTTCGGGATATCTGTTAAAATTGGAACGATACAGAGAAGATTAGCATGNCCCCCCCCCCCCCCCCCCCCAAAAAAAGAAAAAAAAGAAAAAAAAAGAAAAGAATTCAAGACTCTACTTCACTTCTACGAGCCGAGTTCCGATGATTAGAGTCATCATTCCAGACTTTCTTTTTTTTTTCCCCAGACTAATTTTAGCTTGAGATCTTTAAATTTGAAAGCAATGAAAGGTTCTCATCAGAAAGAAAATGGCTGGGCCCACCCTTCTAGTAAACCACCAGTACATGGCCCCACCCTTGCAGACCGAAACGTGTTGCCGCAAGAAAACGAGGGCGAATTGTCGAACGCTGGGCCTGCCGTTGATAAATTGGAAAACGAGGCCGAATCGTCGAACGCTGGGCCTGCGGTAGATAAATTGGAAAACGAGGCCGAATCGTCGAACGCTGGGCCTGCGGTAGATAAATTGGATCGGCCGTCGCATTTTCTTTTCGCGCTTCCAGGTTTCGAGCTGTCAGGCCCGTGGCCCAGGTGCCCATGTACTGGTGTGCTTTAAACCACTACCGGTAGTACCTTTGTCGCTTCAGAAATGAGGGAAAACGCTGATTCCCGAAGAATTCGGAGGCCGGGCCCGATGACAGCTGTCATTGATAAGAAAATCTAATCGGCGGCCGTCGTTTCGTTTCGTTTCGGCCCACCTGAAAGGTCGGAGGCCCGCTATTTTCCAAAACGATGAAGGTACACTAGTGCTTTAATAAGAATTTCCTGAAAGATCGAGCACACGTGTATCCGTTTAGAATGCACTGACCTTGGTCACCTGTTGGAGAATGTGTTCTTGTCTTCTTTAGTTCTCTTCCTCTTCCCACCCTTCGCCTTTGTTCCATTGTCATCTGTGAGAGAGAGAGAGAGAGAGAGAGAGAGAGAGAGAGAGAGAGATCCCAAAGTCTGTTTGAGGTGTGTTCTAGTTCTTTTCGTATTGTAGGTTCCGGCGAGTGATTCGTATTTACAGCAGCAATTTCTTTGGGGCAGCTGTACCACTATTGATTCATTACGCTCCAAGCCTCCAACAGGCTTTGTGGCAGTCTGGCAGAGGCATGTGTACTATTTGAGCAAAGGGTATAGAAGCATTCTACGACGAAAGCACTTTCCTTCCTCTGCCTCCTCGTCGCAGAATGCTTCGACGTATCGTACGTAGGCACTTTTACGAGCTATACGCATAAGCAATGTTTTTGGCGCAGGCGTACCACTGTTCATCAAGAGACTTCGTGGACAGATATCACACTGAAGAACCCTCTACATTGCGATCGTTTTTTTTGACAAACCAAAAGTGGCATTTCCCCGAGCCTAAAGAGCACAGTGCCGCTGCGAGGAAAATTAATTATGGTACTCCCACCCCCTTCGGTCCCCACTTAACCTCCGCTGGACTGCGCACTGTAGATTTTGGCGTGGTACTTGTAGACAATAAAAATGAACAAGTTCACGGGCCGTTGGAATGATGGTTCGTCTACGAGTACCGGGCCAAAGGCCTGGTAGAAGTCCCGCGGGTGGGGGAATGGCACCACAATTATTTTTCTGCAGAGCGGCACTTATGATTCTAGCCCCATGAGGGAATTGCAACTTCTGGGTTGTCAAAATAGGTCCAGATACCAACGGGCCTAGCTCAGTTGGTACACCCATAAAGTGTTGAAATGCAGACCCAAGTTCGAATCCAGATGGAACCAAATGAACTTTACATGCCTGAATTACCTAGGGCCAGTCAGTTTCACGATGTTATCTCAAGGTTGTCGCCCTTTAAAAGGAAGGAAGGGGGTGGGGTGGGGGGGGGGAAGGTCCGGATGAAGTGGTGGCTTAATATATGTTGCAGGCGTGCAACCCTTCATGGGTAGTATGGTCGACTTGGGCA